CAAACGGACACGATACAAAGACAATCAATTGATCAAAACTTACGCAAACTTGCCGAAACAGCAGGATTTGCAGATATTTATACACAAGACTATAGCGGATATTTTAAAGACATTAAAGACTATATATATCTAAGCGGTGAAAAATACCGACCACAAGATATTTCACCTATAAATATTTTTAGCTTTGTTACACTAAAAAATGAAATTCTCGATTTTCTAGGATGGCCCTACTACATCTTAGAAAAATTGACTATTTTATACGCAATGTTTAACTTTATAGGATTTCTTTTTTCGCTTTTAAAAGGAATCTATAATACATGCGCTATACACACACAAGTAAATAGACAAGCAAGTGTAGCACGCATACTATTTGCAGGATTTTTTGGAATTTTTTCATCATCAATAAACAAAATTCTTTTAGATGCACAAATAAAGGAATACAACACAAAAATAGCAACAAGACAGAACACATACGACGAAGAACATAACAATGTAGACATTACGCCTACAGCACCACAGTTACCACCACTACCACATAACCATCCATTATCACTAGTCCCACGAAATTTTCGAAATTTAGCAATAACAAATAATCCAAATTTTAGACCAACTATATCACAAAGTCCCATTCAACATATAATGACACACCATTCACTAGATGAAAATACATATGAACAAATCATAGAACAACCCCATAACACCGCTTTTCAGTCTCAAAATAATAATTTTTTTAGCCCACGATGAGCCGACAACTTGGATCCCTACACCGCTCAAATTCACACCCAACCAACCTCAACACTCCAATTACAATAATTCCACTTTTTGCTTTCCCACCACCCGATTTCCCAACCAATAATATAACATCAGGCATGAATTCAGACACTAATTCACACATCTCAGTTTTATACTCCATCTCACAACTCAATAACCCAGATATTGAAACCCCTGACGAATTTGCAGACTCTGAACCATCTCCATCCAATAATTTTCAAACCAATCCCTCAGTTTTTTCGAAACCCCCTTTTCAACCAATCCCACCATATAACCCACTCCCATCCATTTCTACACCCTCCTATGCTTCACAAGTTACCCCAACCTACTCTTCACTTCATTCAGATCGATCATCCAATTCTCCAGACACCCCCCAAATCTCCCAAGAACTAGATAATTTTATCACCTTACAACAACAACCCTTCCACCTTGAAAACCCCACTATAAATCAGACTTCATCCACAATAGAATCATCAAACCCACCTACCCCTACACCCTCTTCAGCTTATACCGCATCATTAGCACCATCATCCACATCCACCGAATCATCAATTAGCACTAATAGAGCTTACCGCACTTTCAAAAGAAAATTCCCAAACCATCCATTTCCAACAAAACCAGGAACAGCCCGTGAATATATTAACCATCCAAATCACACTAACACGAAAGAATTTTTAGCAATCACCTTACCTTCATTTCCACAGTATACTTTGAACACCCCTACAGATACTAACGATACACGTAGCTTTGTAGATGAACAAGTTTTAATGCCTACACTTCATTGGACATCATATTATCACTTTACTAACCCCCTTTGCCTACATTTATCTAATACTCACATCGATATAGAACGAAATCAAGATATGCTATATCGACTCACTACACCACTAACACATAGACAATTTACTTACATCGGATATAAAAAATCACTAAAAACATACACTGCACCCCGAGCTAACGAATATACGCTAGAATATTACGATCATAACATCATCCGAACTAACCAAGACCAATTTTTAGATGATGATCGCTTCGCTAACCCACAAATCACAGAAAAATTTTTCATCAAAACACCATATGTTTTTACACTCAATATATTTGATCGCAAATTCGACCACATCATTTCTGAAGCACTAACCGACACACAAGCTTACGAAAGTTTTAAAGAAAGATTTCAATTATTTTCACTAACCTTTCATTTCCTTGCACCACATGAACGAGATTTGCACTGCTCACATGACATTATGTTACGCACTAAACAAACCCACACATATACATATTACCGCTTTATACAAAATCACTTTGACCTACACACTCCATCAAGACAACCACACCATCGTTTTCAATTTATTAACTCTAAATACACATCACCATTTTTTCTTAACTTCAGATATTGCATCAAAGATACTAACCTTCACGGTATTCTTCGCAATTATGATCCCATAACCCAAATGTATATTTTTTGTCCCATCACAAAGACCTTCAACGCAGAAGAATCCAGACCCTTCCTTATCCCACATGAATTTGTTCAACCTATAGAAATCCCCATATTAGAATTCATCCACAACACTAAATATAACCACAAATTATATAATCTCATCCAAAACACACCTTATGATTTTGCAGTTGGCACTGAAGAACTAAAAACCATTAAAGCACTTCAATTGCTTTGGCCACTGCTTCAAACTAAAAACATCATTCGCATACTAGCAAAGTTACTAACAAATTCCGACATAATCCACGACATCTTCCCCCACGGTTTTTTCCCCGACGACTAACAGGTAAGTATAATTTATACATATACTAATAAATTTAAAATAAAACACTAACCATTCTTTATCCATGTTTTATTTAGATTTTTAGTCTTCATCTCACGATCATCTGCAAAATACACAAAAGAAAAATAAAAAATAGAAAACTTCTTCAAATTGTCCCAAACTCTAATAATCTTTTGCACCAGCTAAATTAAAAAAAATTCATACAAATGTAATAAATTAATTTATAAATTATTTCCCTAAAAGCAGTAATTCTAATAATGATGAAAATTTGTAACTTAATTTTTCCCCAAAACAAGCAATAAAATTGAAATTCTATGTAGTAAATTAATAAAACGCAAATGCAGTACTAACCTTTTGATATTTTCATTCACTCGCACAAGAATTCTATCCAAACTCGCACAGCTCGCCCACGACGAATTGTTTAAATAATGAATTTCAGTTTCAAGCTTTCACACTCAACAACTCTAACACACGATAACAAGTTTCAAACTTTCCTTTAACCCATTTGGAAAGGAATTATATACTAAACAAAACTAACCAATGCAGCTTACTAAACACCACAACACATAGAATAACAGCATGACTAAGAAAAGGAAACCAACGGTACCCAAACCGGATTAACCCAGTTTAAAACTGGATAATTTATTCTTTTGAAGACTATTATAAAGTCTAAGAAAGAAATAATAAAATACAAAAAAGTCGAAAGACAAACCCATACCAAAAACAATTTGATTTTTGAAAAAAGGACACAACCAACGAAACATAAGAAAAACCACAATAAACCCAACATAAAACGTTATCACATAACAGGACCTATCACAGAAACCGCACGAAATCATACTCCCACTCCTGGCCTAACCCACCAGAGAGGACGTCCTGAGCATGCTCTATAGCCGGCCTAACCCACCGCGCTACATCCACGCTTTGTGACCACACTTCTATTTTTAATAAGAGGTACTCAAGGGTGGGTGAGTAACTCTTCAAAATAACTGAACTAAAACAGAAAGCTTTTGTGAAAACAACTAACCAAAATCATAACTAAAACACTAAACTAATAAAAATTTTATAAAATGTAAATTATATCTTGCAGTATATAGATCAGCATACAACACCAAAGACGAACATCCAAAGACAAAATGACCCCACTACACTCGAAAAAGAATGGCCAACCACAATCAATATGCCGCCCACAATCACAACTCAAAGGATTTAGAGTACGACTTGACTTCGCAGAAAAGGACTTCATTGAACTAGAACAATGACCACCTCGATGTTCAAGTATACGTACAGATCCGAGTAACCAGGCATCCCCTCCACGCACAATCTCCACGCCATTCCCAGACAAGGTCAAAGACAAAGAATTTCTCTACATGAAACGAAAAAACCTGTCATAGCCAACCATTCTGAAATCAGATTTGAGTTTGTTGCGAAAACCCAGTCGTTGTCATGAGAAGACACAACGATTAAATCTGGAACTTCTCTAACAAGAGAACCCAGACGAAATATGATGTTCGCCAAATACCAACGTCCATCATCCATCTTTTGAATTGCAGAAAGACTATTCTAAAAAACTCTGTAAAACCCGGATGGGTGGAACCTGATCTAAACTACATTTTATGATTGGATAAATTAGATATTTTACCACTGTAAAGTATTTAATATTAACCAATCATGATCCATCTAACTAACAACCCACTTATTTGTAAGTGCTGGAATTACTTGTAATTTCAGCACCAGAGAGATTTGAATTTAACTTAGAAATTAGTTGACTCTCCAAGACTTCAGCAACCGCAATAAACCAGTATACCCTAGATCTATTGAGCCTAGCAGAGACTAGTTAAACACCCTGAGACTAGATAGTATAAGAGTAAGATTAGGATCGGTATTAGACTAAGAAGTTGCACGAATCTATCCGGCCGAAAATAAGATAGCGTGACGAGCAGACGGTGTACCCTATCCGAAATTACTCTATGAGTTAACCACCTCGGTCCTAACTCACTAGGGTACCTTGTAACGAATTTCCACCCCTATTAAGAAAAAATTGAACAGTTAAGTGTGAACGAACTTTGTACCTTGTAAGGAATTCTCCCCTTTTGCAAAAGGTGGGAAAAGTTAACAAGATCCTAGTATCTTCAGAAGATGATACGTAGATTTTTCGACCACAGGAAAGTTCAAATTCTAAAAACTAGTAGATTATAATTTGCGACAAGTGTTACATTTAACAAACGAAATTGAAATTTCTGGAGAACAACAAAAATTGTTTTATTTAGAGCGTTGAGATTTTAGCAGATACCATAGAAGGAGATTTTTAAGTACGCTATCCTTTTTACTGATAAACTGTTAATTAAATCAATTTATGATATGCTCAACGACAGTTTCTGAAACTCTACTCTTTCTCCCCCCCCCCCCCCCCCCCGTTCCTAAATCGATAATGCGGCTAATCCCTTTTAGGTGGTTTAATTGTGAACGACTGGTGGTCTGATTTCTGGATCAATGAGGGACTAACTTACTATTATGCAGACGAAGTTGTCAGAGAGGCCGTGAGACAAGAAGTACTACCGTCTTCATTTCTCCCAACTTATTACCTATACTCTCACTACGACAACTACGCAATCACTCAAAAAGTCCATACTGTTCGAGCAAATGAACACTTTTATGGATTTAACATGGCCCTTTTTTACAAAGCAAGGAATGTTGCTTTTATGTTAGACACTGCAATGGAAGGCAATCTTTCAGTCTGTCTCGGATTAGCGATGGAAAATTACACTTTCAGATCTTTGTCAGGTCTGACGCTCAACAAAGAACTATCTAATTGTCCTCATTCGAACCTTAACGTAGTTAACTTCATGCAATATTGGCTTTATGAAGAGATGCTTCCAATTTTGAAACTAGAACTGCAAAATGAAACTGCTATTTTTACTTATTCGCTCCTCTGCGATTTAGACGCTATAAAAAATGCAAGTTGCGAGACGCATAAAAAATATACACCTCAATTTGCGATAAAATTTCAGGACCAAGATTATAACTTGCTTCAAAAAGTTCAAATTATTTCCGATTTTCCTTCTGAGATAAAACTTAACTTTTCAGTGGAGGACAACCAATTATTCTTCGTAAACGCGTTTGAAGGGAGAAATGTTTTGGTTCAATATCCTGAGTTTGTTTACGAAGAGTTTTTTAATTGGATTGAATCAGAAAAATTCACATACGATCGCCCGGACAACCATTTCCTATTGATGTTTATAATGGACATGCTTCAGTTGTCAGCAAGGGAACTAATCAAATCTGATTGGACAATAAAAATAAGGAACAAACCTTCGGAACTAAAGAAAATGGGAGCAAAGAGATACGTGGAAGACATTATAGACGATATCAGCACACATTGTTTTGATCAAAGCTTTTTCCTGACTTTAACCGGAAACTATCGAGGTTGGGATAACATTTCTTCGCTTGCACCTGTCAGTACATCCAATTCTACTCGTGAAAACTGTTTCGTAGACACTGAGGAGAACATGAATATCCAACTGAATAATGAGCGTCTCAGGACCCTTATAATGTTTGCACTCAACGGCCACGAATTTTGGGCAAATCTATATGGAATAATTTGCTAAGCCAAAAACTTAAATAATTGTTGAAAATAAATCGTGAAAGCGTCTTTTTGTGCGGCCAATTTTTTTCGGAAAAGTCAGGGTTTGTGCAAATTTAAAGTAACCAAATCATTAGCTGATTTTTTTAAGGAACTGTGTTGATTTTTGTGCATGTTTTGAGCAGATAAACTTAACTTACCAGAACTTCGATGAAAGTTTTAATTGACTATATTTATCTTCGCAAAAAAATTAACAAAATTAAAAATATTTTATTGTTCCAAAATTTCAAAATAAAAAAATTAGAGTTTTCTTTGCGCCAGACCAGTTTTTGAACCTAAGTGTTCGCGAAATGCTACAATAAACTAAGAACGAAATGTTTTACAGCAAAATTGAGCTTTTCGCGTTGCTCTCTCCAAATAGCCTATAAAAACTGACTAGCGTGTACAGCACCTCCGGTTTTTCAATCAGATTCAAATACGTGAAAATGGCTTATAAAAAAATATAAGAAAAGAAACGAAAGGAATACAACCGTAACAATAGACGGGGGCATCCAACTACGCTTTTTATTTCAAAAATCGAACAAAAAAACTCAAACAAAATTTCTTTTCGAACTAAAATGGTCTAAAACTACTGGGTTTCAGATCTTCGTATTTTGAACTCAGAAACAAAACCCTAAAATGGCCGACAGCCTACAACTGCATTTTCTATATTTAACGATCTCATTGACAAAAATTTTAAACCATGAATAAGACTCTTGTTTAACTTCGTTCTTACTTTTCATTAGCCCGTACCTATATCGTTTGCTGCCATCAATAGATAAACCCAGCGTAATTATAATAACAATATAAAAATTGTCAGTTTCGAAAACTTGAAAAAAAAATCGAAGAAAACAGAGCAAAAATATTAAAATGGCGGCCACATCTGCAACTATTGGTAAAAACCTGACTTCACGCCACCATGCATCGACAATTTCAACTATTGAAAAGTATTACTTTTTTTAAAATTTACGAAAAATCTAGGAAATTGAAAATCGTTGAGCAGTCATATTTGGAGTTCAGAATAAACTTCCTGAGAATACCCCTCCTTGAAAGCACTCCACCAGAGAGTTGAGAATTTCAATTAAAAAAAATTCTGAAGAAATTTGAAAAATCATTGAAAGTGGCATACCTCTATAATTAAGATAAAATGAGCAGTCAAACTTGGAGAAAAAAGAATTGCAATCTTTGATGATACCCTGGGATTACCCCATCTTAATTTTGGGAATTACAGATTTCGTAAAGCTTTTTTAAGTCTTCGAATAAATTACAAACAAATATTGAGATAACGTCAAATCTCGGAAAGTAAAACAATTTCAGCAATAACATTCGGAGGAATACTTTGCATTCTCTATGGAAGGAAAACTACTTTGGCAGCATCCAGCAGCTATAGAGTTGTGCAATTCCATTTTGTATCTGTTTTTAAAAATTTTTGAAATCATAAAAAACCGTGTTGTCTCAAAAATTTAAAGTATTTTGAGCAGTCACATTTGGAGGCACGAATTGCAATCCCTATGAGTGGCATATCAGCACCCAAATGCTGTGTTCGAAATTTTGATTTTGTAAAAATTTGTAAATATAAGTTTTCTGAAAGTTTTGAAAAAAAAATCGCCATATCTCGTGAACTGGACGCATTTTTTGAATTATTAAATCTAAACTTTCTGAAAATTCTCGAAAAGCATAAGGATTTGAGCAATCATATTTGAACGCAAGATTTAAAACCCATGAAAGTATCCAGACAGCACCCAACCGAACTACACGGTTGGGAATTTCAATTTTTCCCATTTTTTTAAGATTAGTTTTCTGAAAATTAAAAAAAAATCATATACCAGTCATATCTCGAAAGCTACAACGATTTGAGTAATGATTTTTGGCGGCAAGATACGCAACCACTGAGCGTAACCTGGCAGCACTAAAACACAGTGTTGATAGTTTTAAGTTTTGTGAAATTTTAAGTTTCTGTTTAAGCAACAGACGCGCAGTACATCACAAACAATAGCCATACATAAAGCAGAGAACAGATGCTATGCAATTTGCAATGCTTTAGTGAAATTTCCATATAAGTCAACACTTTTCTTTGCGAGTTAGGTTAGAAAAAGCTTCCTACTAACACACTAACGCTCGCGCGTGTAATAATGATTATTTGGATAGCTTTCCGAGTGAAAATAAAAAATTGAAAAAAGGGTTTTTTCTCCTTTCTTACATGACGCACAAAATTTCCCGCACTCGCATTCTTGCTGATGCAAAAGACACCACAGGCTCTGGGCCCATCAAAAACTGCCTTGAACAAAACATCACCGTACTCCACATTAAACCCAAGAAGTTATCGTGGCCAACCTTGACTTCAGGTCATCGGAATCAGCCTAGACACTAAAGTAATCGGAGACCTACTTGACTCTCGGATCATCAAAGTCCCCTGAATTGATGTTCATCGGTTTCGGCCTTGACTCCGTGGTCATCAGATCTCACCTTGGCCTCCATGACAACTAGACGAATTCTAAAATAACACCAACCACGCCCTTGAACATTTTCATTTTTCACCGCAAAATGGGGCTGGCCGTAACGTATCATAACGTCCAGAATAAGCGTTCAGAACTTTCATACAGCAAAGTCTCAGCAGCCAAATCGAAATATAAGTTGAATCCGGTATCTTTTCATCAAAACGCAACCACATCTAAGTTTCAAAAAAAAATAATTTGCTTTGCTCTTTTAGTCAACTAAAAAGATAGAAGAGAAAGCTAAACTATATTTCTTAAAACATTAAAAATTAAGCATTCGGCTTTGCCACGAAATAAAACCTTAATATTCAGACATGGCCTACGGTATTTTTTGACGCAATTTGATATACCTAAAAAGTTCTTAGATGTCAAATGTGTCAAGATAAAAAAGTCCCTATTGGTCGTGAATTGGGTCGAAAATTATGTCCAGTCACCAGAAAAATCGGTTTAAAACTTTTCAGCTTTTCGGACTGAAATATGTCAAATAGTTTGAAATCGAATTATTATTTACCGGTCGAAATATTCATACTTCATCTTTTTTAGGCTTCAATTGAAATAACGTAGACTTTCAGCTTAACAAACATTAATGCAGTAATCGAGATAAGATCAATCGAGTAGGTGGAACTTTTTTCCAAGTCAGTTTTCAATCAAACTTTTAATTACTGGCTGACCTATTAAGGAGTGAAAATGATCTTTCACATAATTTGCAGAAAATATGTAACAAAGCCTCCAAATAGCAGTACCGCAATGTTTTGAACAATACTCAACAATTAACCAAAATTGTCAAAACAGTTAGCAAAATTAATTTAAAATTGACACTTTTTTTTGAAAATTTTCCGTTGTCAATTCAACATTACTTCGAAGCATTTGAATTTCAAAAACCATTAACGATTGACCATTAACGATTGAATAGGACAACCGCAATAAAAATCAAATTTGAGCATAAACAAATCCAGAACTATCCATAGCCAAAAGGACAATTTGAACAGTGTCATTGAACTCACGAACACGGAAACATTTTTAAGTAGTTTTTTCTTTGTTTTTTCATGATACTATATTAACCCCTTTTTCGATAAAACTAACCGGATTCGAGAAAACTGAATCAGAAAATATTTTTTTAATCCGCGAGAATTTTGAGAATGAAAATCCATGTATGAAACCGAAAAAAGTTTTCTCGTGTCATTGGAAAATTTGTATTCGAAATCGTATGCTGCCTTGCTAATACCAAATGATCTTAAATTGAATTTAAAAATAATTGAAAGAAAAAGCGATAGGAAAATGAAGGTGAAAAGACTTCCTGAAACGAGAAATATGGCCAACTGACAGTTGGAAATGAAAAATGAACAGAAGGAAACAGAAAAACAACATAGCCAACTAACAGTTGGAAAAGAATTATGAACGCCAGGAAAGAGAAAAACGGACTTGTTCTTTGAAATATTTATAATTTTCAATAATTGAATTAAAAACATATGCATTTAAAGTTCTTTCAAATTCACAAACAACTTATAATTGGTGTTTTTTCTAAAAGTAACCCAATTTGAGAAAACTGGGTCAGTATGTAAATTTTAAATTCCGCTGAGAAATCTTAAAATTAATTCCACTTTCGAAACTAGAAGTCGATCACGTTTTCAGTGACCTTAACTTTTTTGCTGCTCGATTTTCTTTTTTCCTTAACCTTTTCCCTTACTGCTCGGTTTACCAGATGCAATGGAGTGAACTTAAAAAAAATCACCAAGACCTATGAGCTTCACACCATGCGGTAAAAATAGATCTTTCAAAATGAATTCAGAAAAACTGAGGAAAAACATTTCCAGACAAAAGAATTAAAAATTAGCATCGGAACAAAACTAATCAAGCGATGACGAAGCCGAAAACACCTGAGCAGAAACTCTTCTTGCCTATTTTTTTATTCAAAACTACTTGACAAAAAGATCGCTTTTCTCCCTAAAAAAACGTTTCCCTTCTGTTCAGAACACACAAACGCACATACACACTTCTTTTCACTCATCAAATTATGCAAAAAGAGGTTACTTAGCCGATAAAAAATAAATCAAAATCTACTAAGCCGGAAAAAAAAACCTTTAGAAAACTGAATTTTTTACATACCGAGTTGGTTAAATTACAACCAGCATAAAAAAATGAGTCAGAGAGCATACAAGCATGTGTTGCTCCTGATGCGACTGAAAATTTGGACGCAATACGGATAAAAAATAGCCCGTATTAATTTGGGCCGAATGAAGTTTTTAAGCGAAACAAAAAAAAGAAATACGAAAAAAGGTACAGTAAAATTAACATTTGTAAGTTTACACTACAAGCAAAATAAAAGAAAATTGCGTGGGGCAAAAAAAATTCTCAGATGTGACAACTAATCCGACAGAACTTAAGCAGACAATTAATAGGTCGATAATATTGTAACAGAATATTTCACGTATGAAAAAAAACTAGTCCTGATCAGATTCGATCACAGGGCTTTTGCCGTCCCAGGATAATT